GCTAAGTCCGACCACATTCAATAGACTCCTGTCAATTTGGATTGAGACCTGGTTGGTCAGCAATATAGTGAGACCTGGGGACTCCTGAGCCCATGGCCAGGAACATAGCTACAGAGGACTAGAGTGGAGAGTGAAGTGTCCAGTTGATACGAAGTGAGGGGAGATGCACAAGAATGCCCGTACTTGTAAATAGTACCCATTTGACTTAGCTTCAATGGCTGGATGATCAAAACTAGACTACAGGAAGAAAGAAGAGGAAAAAAAGTATAATTCGCTACAATTTGATGAGCTTGACTTATACTTATGTATGTAGTAGTTTAAAAGAGGGAACGGATCTTTACAGCAAGGATTATTCCCACCCCCTCTGTACACAGGGTTGACTGGGATGGGCAACTTAGACATTGGCTACCTCAATGGGAGAGGGGGGCTATAAAGGCATGACGTGACTTGCTTACAAGTTTTCAAGAGGAAGCTTAGTTTCAGAGGGTGCCGGGGAAGGCAGAATCTCTACTGCATAGTTTACTACCTGTCTGGATGGGGCTGATGAAAGGAGATGGGGATAAGACTCTTGTGCTTCAACAGTGAATAATTGCTCTCAGGACTGACTGTGAGTGTTGAAACATTTTGTAACAAAAGGCAGGGAGTGGTTGATCTTGTAGTCCAGGAGCAGAGGACCCTGGGAACATCAAGGGAGAAGAGCAGAGTGTGGGACCCTATCCAGAAAAGCAGTGATGCCAGAGATGGAGGTAGAGATGATGACATGGAGAGATAGAGTGGCTAGAGACTCTAGTCTCAAGAAGGTAGAGGGGCTGTGTGCTGGTGGCCAGGGGGCAGGCTTGCAGGGTATGCCCTTTGGTTATTTGAATGGTTATATATTCCTGAGTGCCGTGGAGTACATCAAAAAACAACAAAAGAAAAACCGGAGGGAATGGAAGCAAATGTTGTTGAATGATGATGCATGGAGGGCATTGTAGTCATTGCAATGGAATGAAATATGATAGGATGAATGTAAGTAAAGCTGTTGTTCTCCCATGTAAACTATCACTCAATTCACAATAAAAACTTAAAAAAAAAAAGAATCCAGTCTCCATATCATGGCATACCAGCCCCTATGCGGTATGCCTACGCTTCTGACCTTTCTCCTGACCTCTGTTATTCAACTACGCTCCAGCCACCTTTTTGTCCTGTGAATATACCACACTTTTCTTCATTTTGATGCTTTTTTTCATTTGCTGTTTCTACTACTGGAATTTTTCTTGATTTCTTAGATCTTCCTTGTCATAATTTTGGATTATCATTTGGGTTACCTCCTCAGAGAGATCTTCTCTGGGACAATTGCTAAACTACACATTCCTTTCCTGTTTAATTACTCACAATAATGTTATTCTGATGTATGTCCTTAAAGGAGTTTAAAAAAATAAAATTTTATTATTTAACCATTAATTTAGGCATTTATTGTTTGTTTATTTCCCCCACAGAAATATAAGCTCATTCATGGAGATGACTAGATTCCTTTGCCTCATTATTGCAAACCCACCCACCTTATTGCCCTCTTTTAGTTAATTCTGACTCATAGTAACCCTTTAAGACAAAGTAGACTCTCTGTATAAGGTTTCTGAGACTTTACATATTTACGGAAGCACACTGCCTCATTTTTCTCCCACATACCATCTATTGGGTTTGAACCACTGGCCAAATTGATTAGCAACCCAATGCTTAATTCACTGAACCACTACTTCTCCCTGTTGCAAACCTATGATATTTACCTCACGACCTGACTGAAAAAGAGTAATGCAATGGAGAAAATAGTATACTGACTTGTATAGTATGAGATAAAGAATTCAGTAACTTAAAATAACCTGAATATTCTTATCTGATAAAACATTTTCCAGAAGACAGGAGGATAGGAGCAGAAGTCTGTCTGTTTTAATTTTTGAGCCTTCAGAGAGATTAGACTGGTGTTGGGATCAATCATAGACTATATACCCACTTGTATCACAATGGCAGAAATATTCATTGTGTTATTGGAAATAGTATCTGCCTCTTGGAACTTCTTTTGAATATTATGTGTCAAAGCTGTATGCCATGTCTGAGATTTCTGGTTTCAATTGGAGGAATGAAACAAGTGTACAAGTTGTGTGAATTGTTCTCTCTTACAAACAAAAATCTAAAAAGAGCTATTTAACCTAGGTAACTACAGACTTCTGCAAGGGGAAATTTAATATAAATGTGTGATATACTGATCTCATTTCAAGAGGTAGCATATGAGCAAGAATCAATGGAATTAAAAGAAGTCCAGCTGTACTGGACTTCAGCAGCCAATAAGGATCCAAGATTTGGCAGAATACAAACTGAAATGTTTCAACAAAGTGATGCTGCACTGGAGGTATTTACTTGTCTATACCAAGAAACTCATCTGGCCAACTGAATGGAAGAGATCCATATTTGTGCCCATTCCAAAGAAAGGTGATTCAGCAGGTAGTGGAAATAATTAAGCAGTATTATTAATATCACACACAAGTAAAATTTTGGTGAAGATAATTTAAAAATCTTAGAACCCTAACATAACATATGCATAGCAGGATGAGTCAGAATCGAACGATTATGGTTCCCTTAGGAAAATAATGGTAGATCTTAAAAATTTTGGTGAAGATAATTAAAAAATGGTTGCAGTAATATATTAATGGGATGCTGCCAGAAATTCAAGACAGATTCAAATTGTCTTGAAGAGACTGTGGAACTAAGAATATCATTACTGACATCAGATACCAGAAAGATGTTTACTTATGCCTTATTGACTATGCAAAGGCATTCAACTAGGTGAATCATAACAAGCTATGTTTAGCATTGTGAAGAATGAGAATTATAGAGCACTTAATTGTGCTCCTGAGGGACCTGTACATACATGAAGATTATATATATATATACTCTTTATGATTCCACTAGTCGTTCTAACAGAATGAGGAAATACTGAATGATTTCAAATCAGAAAAGGTGTGTGTCAGGGTTATAGCCTTTTATCATATTTATTCAGTCTCTTTGTTGTTGTTGTTGTTGTTGTTGTTAAGTGCTGTGGTGTCGATTCTGACTCATAAGGACCCTCTATAGGGTTTCTGAGGAGTGACTGGTGAATTTGAATTGCTGACCTTGTGGTTCAAACCAACTTTGCAGTCCAAGTGTTTACCTTCAGCGCCACATATAATCTGATCAAGTAATCTGAGGAGCTGAATTATATGAAGAAGAATGCAGCTTTGGGATAGGAGGAAAACTCAGAAGAACACTTGTAATATGTAGATGGAACAATATTGCTTGTTAGAAATGAAAAGAGGACTTGAAATATTAATGGATAAAGATCAAAGAATACAACCCTACAGTATGGATTACACCTCAATGTAAAGAAAATGAAAATCCTCACAACTGGACCAGTAACGTTGCCATGACAATGGGAATAGCATAAGCTTTTCTCTTAGCTTCCTCATCTGTAAAAACCAATACGTACTATACCCTCTGCTATCTCACGGAATAATACCATTATTCATATAATTGGTCATACGCTCCATGAATTATTTTATGAAAAGATTTCCTGTTTCTTAAACTCTTCAACCTCCTCAGCTTTGAGAATGAGGCTATTGTGAGTCCCATTGCAGGGCACCTTGGCCAGAGGTTTCCCCATAATTTGGTTAAGGTATTCAACAAAATGATGTGAAAAGTTATATGCAAATAAGTATGGTTTTGATGGTACCATATATTGCCTCTATATTTCAGACTGTTTTCATAGCTCATTCTAATCTAGTCACTAATTGTTCCTGTTTCGCCAACTGTTTACTGACAGAGATGGTCTTACCACATTTAGAAAAGAAATAAAATCTGCATTGTGGAGTTAGCATAGTTGTAATTCTAGTTTCATGCATGGTGAATTCCTTATAGAGCTATAGTTAATGTATGTTTAATTTTTTTAAAAGGGGGGGAGGGGGAGTGTCCAAAGCTTTCTCCATGTTTTCTTATGTTTGTTTGTTTTTTTTTTTTGTGTGTGTGTGTGTGCAGCTCACCATGTTAAAACAGGAACTTGCGAGGTGGTGGCCCTCCACAGATGCTGTAATAAGAACAAGATAGAAGAACGGTCACAAACCGTCAAGTGTTCCTGCTTCCCTGGACAGGTGGCCGGCACCACAAGAGCTGCTCCATCTTGTGTGGATGGTGCGATTTCTTTCTTTGCTTATCATGATAGACTAGTGGGGGCTGTTTAGAAATGGAATCCCATAATAATACTGTCAACTTATGGGGATCAACTCTGGGAACACAGTACTGATCAAGATGTTGAAATGAGGTTATTTGGAAGCTTTTTAAATCTAAAGTTTTTTGAAAGGGGGTCCAAGACCATATGTAGTTTTATCACAAAAAGCATTATAATGCACTTCCAATGAACAATGTGGTTCTTTTACAAAAGAACATTATAGAATGTTGTACGATGAAATATTAATTTCCTGAGGGCTGTGCACAAATTCTTTGGGAAAAGAAAGATGAAACTAGATTAGAGTATAGGTTTAAAAAAAACTGTAGATGATTTTTAAGAATGAGAATGAGTTGGTCATTGAGTCAGTTCTGATTCCTTACTACTCTATGTACAACAGAATGAAACACTGCCCTGGCCTTGGCCCAACCTTAGAGTCCCTGTTATTCTTGAGCCCACTGCTGCTGTCCCTGTGCCCATCTGTCTCATTGGAGTCTTCCTCTTTTTTGTTGACCCTTTACTTAACCAAGCATGGTGTCCTTCGCTAATCCCTCCTGATAATATGTCCGAAGTATAAGTGAATGCTTAGTTATGGATAAAATTCACATAAAATATTGATTTTGATGGAGGTAAATAAAATATTAGTATTGCATTTGACATTTTGTCTAACTACAGTAGGATATAATTCTTTTTATAGGTCTTTTCAGTTAATGTTATCATAATAATAATTTGTTGCATGCTTAGATTATCATGGTGCATTCCTTGTGAGGATTAACTTAAAGTAATATCCTCCTAATTATCAGCCTATTTGTGGGGAATGTTATATAAATTCTCAAATATTGACTGTAAGCTGGTTCAGAGGACAATTTTTCTATATGTTCATGTATGTAGGTGCATACACATATTCACATAGTTCCTTTCCAGCATATCTATGTTCATGTATGTAGGTACATACACAGATTCACATAGTTTCTTTCCAGCATATTAATTTTCATTAAGATGAATATACATGAAAAACATAGATTTATTCCCTTTGTTCAAACTAGAAGGGCATCTTATGACATAGCATATCTAGTAGTGAGAAAAAAAGATGTGACTTTTGTTAAGTGTGCACCCAGAGAATTAACAGTTCCAAATGGAAAACACTGAATTGATTTTTCCATGTCCTGTAGCTTCGATAGTGGAACAGAAATGGTGGTGCCACATGCAGCCATGTCTTGAGGGAGAGGAATGTAAAGTGCTTCCCGATCGGAAAGGATGGAGCTGTTCTTCTGGGAATAAAGTGAAAACAACCAGGGTAAGTGGACAGCCAGCTTGGGAAAGGAAAATGTCACTGAATGATAGAGCATAGGACATATGTAATAACATCTGTAGGAAAGAGAGAGTATAATTTTACATAGCATAATTTTTCATATCTTCCTAATTCATTTTTTCATAGTACATTTTTATTTTAATGGATTGCCACCAATTGTCATGCTGTCTGATAAATAAACATTGTTTTTTCATCATAGATACTAACAATAAGAAGTGCAAACTTCTGAGGACGCATGGGAAATGTTGGAAAGTTGACCCCAGTTCCCATTCTTCTGATGTTCAGTAAACTGAATAAATTCTACAAAAAAGAAAATTTACTTTGTGACTCTTTTAAACATCTTTCAATTAAGATCCTTCCAGTTTTGTGAAATAAATTAATTCAATTTTCCGATTCTTGGTTCAGCACATAGTTTAATAATATTAAAATTTGCAATCTTTGTAATGAATAACTCAGAGAAGTTTCAGAATGTTAGGGTCAGTACAAAAATAGTATTTGGAGATGATGATGTATTTCAGCTTTGCAATGACTGACCACTGAAGAATGAGAAAGAAGTTCAAATTAATTATCTCTGTTCTTTGAGATTTTAATTAGTTACATGGATATCTAGACTGGAAGAATGTGAGTCATTATTATTATTATTATTTGTAGAATTAATAAGAGAAAGGTATTTTTCCCTTTTTTGCTCTGATAGGAAAGCACATTATAGATTGTTGTTGTTGTTGTTAAGTGCCATCGAGTCGGTTCTAACTTGTAGCGACCCTGTATAGGGTTTCCAAGGAGTAACTTGTGAGTTTAAACTGATGACTTTTCAGTTAGCCCTCCGGTGCTTATCCGGGCTAATTGGGAAATAGAATGTAATAATGGTATAAGATGTTTTGTAAAAGAGTAACATGAAACTAAAGACTAGCTAGTTTATGATATTGCTTGACAATAGTAATTAAGTTTGTTTCTGGACATATTTCTCATTTAGATATATATTTCAGTTCTGTCAAGATATATCTTCAGTGTTTGGGCTGACTAGACATACATACAATTGACCAAGTTTCAGATAGCATTAATAATGACAGTATATTTTATTGTTATTCCTTACTGTAATTTGTTGGCTGAATGTTGTCACACCATCTCCAAAATTCATGGAGTGCATGATCAGTTAGTTACTAGAATAAATATATTATTCAGTGAGTTAGCACATGATATAATAGATATTGATTTGATGAAAACATGCAACAATTTTTTTATAACTAGTTTTCATAACACTCTTAATGACACTTAATTTTTTATAACATTATTAGCTGTCAGTTGAAAATAACACTTGTAGACATTCATTGAAGGTTTGAAATTTTGAAAGAAATTTTTTAAAATATTGGGCTCTCTACAATGAAGTCTATGTTTTGTTTTGCTTCAGTGGACATGGGGAAGGGTATTTATTGGAGACTGAAAACATATGCCATAGGCTGAGCAAAGTGTTTTACATCAGTTAGCTCATTTAATCCTCTTAATAGCCCTGTGAGGAAGATAGTATTATTATCTCCTTTTTATAGGCGAGTAAACTAACACATCATAAAGTTATGTAACTTTCCAAGGTCGTATAGCAAATTAATGAGAATTCAGAGTTCAAACTACACAGTCTTAATCGGTAATCTACTCTCTTAACCTGTACATTTTAATATGCAATTTAACTAACTCTTAAGTACTAGTGATAACATTTTCTATAGCCTTTCAATACAGTAAAGTGTAGTTGTGGTTGTTACAAGGTACCGGTTCATAGCAACCTAATCCATAACAGAAGGCAACATTGCCCTGTCCTGTGCCAACCTCACAATCATTTCTATGCTTCAGCCCATTGCTGCTGCCACTGTACCAGTCCATCTCATTGGGGATCTTCCTCTTTTTCACTGATTCTCCACTTTACCCAGCATGATACCCTTCTCCAAAGACTGGCTCCTCCTGGTATTATGTCTGAAGTATGAGAGACGAAGTCTGACCATCCTGGCTTCTAAGGAACATTCTGGTTGTACTTCTCCCAAGGCAGATTTGTTTATTCTTTTGGCGGTACTTTTAATATTCTTCTCCAACACCATAATTCAAATGCATTAATTTTTCTATGGTCTTCTTTATTCATTGCCAAACTTCCACATGCATATGAGGCTATTGAAAATACTATGGCTTGGGTGAGGTGCACCTTAGTCCTTAAACTGACATCTTTGTTCTTGAACACTTTAAAGAGGTCTTGTTCAGCAGGTTTGCCTAAAGCAATATGCCATTTCATTTCTTGACTGCTGCTTCCATGATTGTTGATGGTCGATCCAAGCAAAATGAAGTTTTTGACAATTTCAATCTTTTCTCCATTTATCTTGATGTTATTTTTTTGGTCCCGTTGTTTTCTTTACATTAAGGCACAACCCATACCAAAGGCTGCGGTCTTGATCTTCATTAGTAAGTATTTTTAAGTTCTCTTCACTTTCAGCAAGCAAGTTTGTACCATCTGCATAATGCAGAACGTTAATGACTCTTCCTTCATTTCTGATGCCATGTTCTTCTTCATAGAATCTAGTTTCTCAGATTATCTGTTCAGATTGAATAAGTATGGTAAAAAAAATACAGTCCTGGCGCACACCTTTCCTAATTTAAAACCATTCAGTTTTCCCTTGTTTTGTTCAAACAACTGCCTCTTGGTCTATGTACAAGTCCCTCATGAGCACAGTTCAAGGGTTTAGAATACTCATTTTTTTTTTTTTTTAGTGGTTTCCATAGTTTGACATGAGCTGCATACTCAAAAGTCTTTGCATAGTCAATAAGGCACAGGCAAACATCTTTCTGGTATTCTTTGCTTTCAACCAAGATCCATCTGACATCAACAATCATATCCCTCCTGTCATGTCCTCATCTGAAATTAGCTTGAACCTCTGGCATTTCCCTGTCAATGTTTTTAAGTTATCTTTAGTAAAATTTTACTTGCATGCGATATTAATGATTTGTTAAATGATATGCACATTCTGTTGGGTCACCTTTCTTTGGAGTGGGCACAAATATGGATCTCTTCCAGTCAGTTGTCCAAATTTCTTGGCATAGATGAGTGAGAGTGCCTCCACTGCTGCATCAGTTTGATGAAAGATTTTAATTTGTGTTCCATCAATACCCAGAGCCTTGTTCTTTGCCAATGCCTTCAGTGCACCTTGGACTTCTTCTTTCAATATCATTGGCTCTTTATCATATGCTACCTTTTGAAATGGCTCAACATCTACCATTCCCTTTTTGGAAAACAGTGTCTCTGCGCATACCTTCCATCTTCTTTTTAAAGTTTTTATTGTGAATTGAGTTATAGTTTACATGGGAGAACATTGGTTTATACATTGTTTCACTGCAATGATTACTATCCCCTCCATGCATCATCATTCAATAGTATTTTCTTCTATTCTGTTTGTTGTTTTTTTGTTTTTTTTTTAATAATTTAAACCACCAAAGGGCACATTCTGCAAGCCTGCCTCCTGGCCACCAGCACATAGCCTTTCTCTTCCCATGAGTCTGAAGTACTCAGCTGCTCTATCTCTCTATGTCATCATCTCTGCCTCCATTTCTGGTGTCACTGCTTCACTGGATAGGATCCCATGTTCCATTCCTGCTCTTCTACCTTGATGGTCTTAGGGTCCTCTGTTCTTGGACTGTAAGATTAACTACTCCCCCCTTTTTGTTACAAAACTTCTACCTTTACAGTTGTGACAATCGAAATTAGTCATGATAACAATTACTCACTATTGATTCATAAGAATTTTATTCCCTATCTTCTTTCACTAGACCCATTTAAACAAGATGAAAAGTATTCAGGGGGATTCTACCTTCCCCTGAACAGACTGAAACTAAACTCCTCTTGAAAACTTGTAAGCCAGTCACTTCATGCCTTTACAACCCCCACTTGCCCCAATTTCTAAGTTGCCCATCCTTATCAACCCTGTGTACAGAGGGAATGTGAATGATCTTTGATATGAAGACTCCTTCCCTCTCTAGTTGGTATTTTGAGCTACAACATCCATAATTACAGGTCAAGATCATCAAATTGTAGAAATTTACACTTGTTTCCTTTATCTAAACATTATTTTGTTTTCCTCTAGTGAAGTTCTGATTATCCAGTCATCGAAGCTAGTTCAAATCTGCAAGTTTGGGCATTTTTGAGCGCCTCACCACACTTCATATCAGCTGGATGCTTCACTGTCAGCTATAGCCCTCTATGGCTATGTCCTTATCCATGAGCTCAGGAGTCCTCAGGTCTCAGCATCCTTTGGACAAACCAGACATTCCTCTTCTCTCTTTTATCTTCAGGTCGACGCGAGTCTATGAAATGCCTTCCACATTCTTTTGATGCTTTCTATATCATGCAGTATTTTTCCCTTTGAATCCTTCAATATTTCAAGTCAAGGCTTGATTTTTTTTCTTCAGTTCTCTCAGCTTGAGAAATGCTGAGCTTATTCTTCCCTTTTGGTTTTTTAATACCAGATCTTTGCACGTTTCCTTATAGTATTAGACACTGTCTTCTCTACCTGCCCTTTGAAATTTTCTATTCAACTTTTTTACCTCCTCAGCATATAAGCAATTGATGCTCTGGTCCATAGTCTTCCGTAGCCTTCTTTTAACTAGTTATATGGACCATTTCCACCATCTCTTTCAATAGTACCATCAAATTTATTTCTGTGTAATCTATTTGGTGAGGTCCATGTGTACAGAATTCTTTTATGCGCTTTCCAAAAGGTACTTGCAATCAATAAGTCATTGGCCTAGCAAAATTTTATCATTTGATCTCCAGCATTGTTTCTATCACCAAAGCTGTGTTTTCCAACAACTGATCCTTCCTCTTTGTTTCCAACCTTTGCATTCTAATCACCAGTAATTATCAATACATCTTGATTGTGTGCTTGATCAATTTCAGACTGAAGAAGTTGGTAGAATTCTGCAGTTTCACAATCACTAGTTTTATGGTTGGTGCTTAAATTTTTATAATAGTTGTGTTAACTGGTCTTCCTTGTAGGAGTATGGATATTAAGTTATCACAGACAGCTTTGCACTTCAAGACAGATCTTGAAATGTTCTTTTTGATGATGAATGTGTTCTCATTATTCAACCTGTCATTTCTAGCATAGTAAACTATGTAGTTGTCAGATTCAAAATGACCAATACCCATCCATTTCATCTCACTAATACCTAGGATATAGATGTATATGCATTGCATTTCATTTTTGACAACTTCCAATTATCCTAGATTCATGCTTTATACATTCCATATTCTGATTATTAATGGATGTTTACAGCTGTTTCTCCACATTTTGAGTTGTGTACCATCAGCAAATGAAGGTCCTACAAGCTTCACTCCATTTGCATCATCATAATTAACTCTACTTTGAGGAGGCAGCTCTTCTCCAGTCATATTTTGAGTACCTTCCAACCTGAAGGGCTCATTTTTCAGCATTATATCTAAGAATATTCTTGTGTTCATCAGGTTTCAATATTCAGTATTCTGGTGCTGACAGTGTTCTACTACTATTCATATGGTTTTCAGTGACTCAATATTCAGAAATAGTCCCACTCTCCTTCTTCTTTGTTTGTTTTAGTCTGGAAACTTATCTGAAACCTGCCCACATGGGTGGCCTTGCTGGTACTTAAAATACCAGTGGCAAAGCTTCCAGAATTAAGCAACATGCCAGCCACCTTTATATGGTAAGCTGACAGTTTGGTTCATATGAAGTAAGCATGTAAAATTATGTTTTAGCTTTCTGGATCATTGAAATGAAAAAGTGAAGACCATGTAATTGCAACTCTTATAGTAATTTGTTTCAAAAGTGCCCTCCCACCCCCTTTTTTAACTCCCTTTTGACCTTTTTGGTCATATTCTTTTTTTTCTCTGAAGTTTTTATTGTGGATTGAGTGCAAGTTTAAAGGGCAGATCATCAGTTTTACATTCAACAAATCACACAACTTGTTTTATTATGATGGTTACAATCTCCTCCAGGTACTATCAGTTAACAGTATTTCTCTCTATTCTCTTTAGCTCTTTATCCAAAATAAAACAACAACATTCAGGCATATATAATAATTTTTGCCACCAAAGGGCACATTCAGAAAGTCTGCCTCCTGGCCATTATCTCTTAGTCCTTCTCTGCCTGTGATTCTAGAGTCCTCGGCCGCTCCCTGTCTCCATGTCCCCATTTCTGCCTTCATCTTTGGTGCTGCTGCTTCTCTGGATAAGGTCTTACATTCCACTTGTGTTCTTCTCCCTTGATGGTCCTAGGGTCCTTTGTTTCTGGACTGTAAGTTTAACTGCTCCCCCATTTTGGTTACAAAACTTCTACCTTTACAATTGTGATAGTCGCAATTAGTCATGATAACAATTACTCTCTATTGAATCATAAGAATCTTATCCCCACCTCTTTTAACCATATCCATCTAGACAAGATGAAAACTATTCAGTGGGGACTCTTTCTTTCCCCACACACTTTTAAACTAAACTCCCTCTTGAAACCTTGTAAGCCAGTCACTTCATGCCTTTATTGCTCCCTCATTTTAGGTAGCAAATGTCTAAGTTGCCTGTCCCTATCTACCCTGTGTACAGAGGGGATAGCACTGATACTTGATGTGAAGACTCCTTCCCTCTGTGTTATTCAGAGTTACTACCTCCATGAGTATAGATCAGGTTCATCCAATTGTAGCAATTTACCCTTGTTTCCTTTATCTAAAATTGTTTTTGTTTTTTAATCTTCCTCTAGTTGAGTTCTGATTATCAAGCCATCGAGGCTAGGTCAAATGGGTACTGTCTGCAAGTTTGGATGTTCTTGTGCATGTCCCCTCACTTCATATTAACTGGATGCTTCACTCTTCAGCTCTAGCCCTCTGTGGCTATGTCCTTGTCTATGGGCTCAGGTGTCCTCAGGTCTCACCACATTTTGGACCAACCAGCCCTTTCTCTTCTCTCTCTCATCTCCAGGTCAACAGGAGTCTATGAACCATGGTTGAACTGAGCCCATTTCTTCATTGCTGCCTTTCCCCCTCCTCCACTCACAAGTAGACCAATGTGGTCACCAGCAAGCTTACATGCCTGCTTATGTGTTCCCTTTGACTGTCAGTCTTTGAGGTGGGGGGGGGGGGTTGGTTGGTCATATTCTTAATGACAGAAACCTAAAATTGAGTGTCTGCTTAACAAATTCTTCCTTACAATATAGATGTGGAACTCATGAGTAGGAAGACTAAATATAGTCTATTTTAGAGATAATCTATTTTTCCTTCTTACTTTTCATCTCTTTTGCCTTTGAGAACTCATGATAAATGGAGATCTCATTTAAAATGTTGTGGAGAGAATTTGGAGTTCTGGTGTGGTGCTATAAGGTAAGCAAAGGACCACAAGGTTGGTTTGAACCGCGATGTTAATGATTTGAACACACCAACTGCTCCTCAGAAGCCCTATTTAGGGTTGCAATGAGTCAGACCTACTTGATGGCACTTAACAACAGAGAGGATTTATATAGCAATAGGTAGTTGAATTAGATTACTTCTAAGATCTCCTCCTCGCTTGAGAGCCAGTGATTCTCATTTTAAAAAGAAAAGTCATCATATATAAGAATAGAGAAGGGGACTTGAAGACAGGAGTTCCTTTAATTTAATCAATGTAGATTGTTATTCTTTTTTCTTTTCCTTCATAAAAAAAAGAAAGTGCTAGCAAAACAGAGCTATCTAGGTGATTTCAACTTCAAGACTATCATGGCTCTTCAAATAGCTTGACAAAAAAATGTGGAATTAGGAATGTTAGTTTGGCTCAAAAAACAAGTTGGAGAAACGTCTCTGCTGCCTCAAAACAAGTAACATTTCCAGAGTCACTAGATATCATCCCTCTTCTACCTCCACTGAAAAAGAGGAAAATGGGTAGGAGAGAAGAAAATGTTTGAAATAGCTGTGAGTACAATGTTATTTACAGATATAGTTTCTGATATATATATATATATATATATATATATAATATTGAGAGGAAACCTGGTTATTATTTTGTCATTGGTGATATTATCCACTTGTTAATCCTGAATATATAGGCAGAACGAGCCAAGCAGGCATTCAATCCCTGATTAGCTCCCACTACAAATGATGAAAGTCTAGAAGTTAATCAGGAATAGGTTACAAAGTAACTGAAGAGCTGTTTTCAGCAAAGCTATTTTCATATCTTATGTAAAATACGTTGTCCTTGTGGGGTTATTGCTGAAAACAAAATAGCTAAAAAATGATTGAAATTTGTAATAATGTCTACCCTCCCTTATAATTGCCCATATTCAATCTGGAGTGCTCTAGTCAGCTTAATGTTAGAAAAAAAGCAGTCAGGCAAAATTAGTGATAAAGATGGCTTAGCCTCAGCAGAGGTGAGTGATACCCTTCCAACTGACTACAGAACAGGACTGGCTGATCTCAGAAAGCTAATTGGGAGTTTACATTGTACTTCTTACTATAAATGCAGAGCATCTTCTGCTTCTGTCTTTGCACTCGATTCAGGAAGCTATTCATTCACTCTGACCCACATTACCATCCCAACATGAGGAAAAAGCAAGGAATATAGTGATACAATATTGGAACATCAATATTTTACATGCATGTTCTTTAAAGCTCCAAACACTTAGTCTGCAGAGAATGGGAATGTATCATTGGTTTCCCAAACCCTATTTCTTACTCTGATGGTGGAAAACTAAAACTTGTGACTATATATGACATACATAAGCAACTCTTGTGTTACTTTTCAGAACTGTAAGTTAAAAAGAAAGAATCATAAAAACCTTTGATTTCAAATTCACATTGAAAGATAAATAATAAGGAAGTTTCCGAGTCATTAATAAAAGAATGCGCTTTCCAGTGTGAAAAAACACATAATTATATGCTAATCATATAATACAAAAGTAGAAGAGGGAAGGTGCCATAGCACTTGTAAGAGTTGAGGGAAAAAAATCTTTTGATAACATTGGCAAAATCATCAGAAAAAATGGACTGTGATTCATTGCTTTTAGTGTTTTGATATTCTTTCTCTGTGTAACATCTTCTAAAGAAAGTCACATTCAACTTTCAGAATTCACAATCCTTGTTTGTTGGTAAGAACCCCGTTCTCCAAATTCCAGTGGGTACTGCAACTCTTGTGTCTGATTTTTACTGTACTTCATATTATATAAGATCTTACGCTATCATTAGAAAGATACTCCTTAGACATCATGAATACCAAGTCTGTTGACTTTTCATATGCTTAAGAAGAAATTCTCTGGGTAATTTTTAACTGGTTGGGCTTTTTTCATCCATACTCATTATTTAAAGTGCCCTATGTGACA